TTTTATCCTCAATATGGCACCTCATAACTAAGGATAGTTGGCAGCCCTGAATGGAAGATTTCTGCTGTGTTTTAGGGCAACAACTTGTCTGCAGTAAGAAAGCATATAATTTGTGTTTCAAAAGTGTGTGAAAACCAATCAATTAACTTATAAGATCTCGGTTCCCATATTAAATAATCAATAATTGTTTATACCCGCATTTTGGCACATTGGCTCGTTGAATGTGTCATCTAATAAATAGTGTCGTCGTTCTCCTTAGCTGCTTTTAAATTATGTCGTCACAAATTGCTGGCGGAGACATGAATACAGTATAAGAAAATTCTTTTTCTATAATTGTTTCCTTATAGAAAGGTTGGTTTCTTTTCCACCTTAGACATTCCGAATTCGTTCAAAATATGCTAATTTAAAACACAGAATTCTTTCAGTGTTCCTCCGGGGTTTTTGGACATGGACTGTTTCTTCAATTTAATAGTGTTCGCTTTATTTTTGTGGAAACGAAACATGTTTTGCAAGTTATGGATCATTTCTACACTCTTTCTTCAAATAATTCTCGTATTCCAGCTGTGCGCAGGCGTTTAGTTTTTCGCATCGTGTTTTTACATATTCGTAATTTAGTTATTTTAATACAATCAATTGGTGGTAGTTCATGATTGTGTGTGGATTAATATCACAAAACTGAGGGGATTTGGCAATAACGTTTTTCATCTATTAAAAAAACACACTTACGGGCATGTTTATTGTAACAACAACATTTTTTTTCTATGAATCGACATACTTTAAGCATTGTTGACGCTATTTCCTGAATGAGGAAATAGCGTCAATGACTTTATTTCCAAATTTTTGTTGACTTTATTTCGCTTTTGAAAAGGTAATATTTGAAAAGGTTTCCCACCCTGGAGCGAAATAAAGTCAATTGACCTTATTCCATTGACCTTATTACCTGTCACCGTGCAAAAGTACCCCCCAAATGTTTGTTGATATATTTGAAATGTCAATTTTAACAGGGAAATTCGTTAAAAAAAATAATAAAACAAAAATATTGTTGATTACTACATGGGAGGTGGCCGTGGTTATTGCCAAAATTTAATACTAACCTAAATTATACCAAAGGCAACTTCGGCACCGACTTTCGTTAAAATATCTAAATTTTGTTCGAGTTAGCGTGTTTACAAACAGACACGACTGAACCAATTCATTCACCAATTCGTCATTCTGAATATTTTGATAAATATGTATGTATGTAAGACTGTATATACTTTTTATACCGTTGAAAAACGGCCTTGCTTATATGCATAAACCTTTCCTGCATTAGTTCCAGCGTCGATATATAACTTTGGGTACATATTTCATAAAAACTTTGGAGGTCTCCACTATAAGAGTGGTATATTTGAAAATTAGAGAGTTCTACCTTTATGCTAAGTAATACTTGTTTTACCCCCTAATTTATGGGTCCATTTTCCAAAATCAGCCCACCATTATTCACTCAAAGTTGTGTTTTGAACCAGATATGACTTATGTAGGAACTGCATCCGGTTATAATCGCTTACACTGCCAGCCTGATTTGCTAGGAATTTTTTTTTTCTCGTTGTTTTATTTTATGGGTCTTGAAAATATTTTCCACTATAAGAAAATATTGAAATTGGATTTCATTTGGGTTAAAGAAAACGACAACTGTGAAAAAATATCAACCAATACATGCAAATAAATTGTCAAATAAGCATATTTAAATTTTTTGTTTTGCCTATCTGGATTACTGTATACTGTGCATAAATGTAAATAATTCAGGCACTATAGGTGATTTTGAAGAAATTGTGGAAATAGCTGATCTCGCCTTATTATAGGTTTTTATTTTAAATTTAGCGCCGAGCTCTTAAAAGCGGATTGTGCGATTAATCAATTAATATGAATAATAAATTTAATAATTGCGCTGTCCTATTGCAAAATGTGTTGAAACAAATATTTTTAAAAATTATGCGTATTTGTAAAGAAAATTGTTTGTACATCACTATTATATAAGCGATTTGTGTTATTTATTATTACCTTCTGAAGGTATTATATTCGTTTTTGGTTTTAAAAACTATATGATAACAAGATCTAATTTTTTAAATAAAAGATTTGTTAATCGATTTCATGAATTTAAAAAAAAAAACATTGGCGAATTTTGGCGATTTTTTGCAGGAATTGCGCTTTATTTTTAAACAATCTGGACACCCTGGTTATCATAGAATGCTTCTATAATTGAAAAAGTTTCTGTGGTATAGTGTGTGTGGTATCAAGTGCAAAAATGTCGGAATCCTCGAAAGGCGGACTGGGAGAAGTTTGGTTCGTTCCTTGAAACGATAATACCAAATCTCTCTAAACTCAAAAACATTAAATCAATATAAGAGGCGTCCCGCGAGGTAACGATTACTTTGATTGGGTGTTTTGAGAAAATATGTCCGCTAAGAAGAAGCAGGCATGGAAAAGCGGTCCCATGGTGAAATACTGAACTCACAAAACTTCGAAAAAGGTCCAGAAAACTTCTGAATAGGGCTTTAAAACCCCGTAGAGAGGAGGACTGGTCCGAATATAATAACGTGCAGAAGGAATATTAGAGGCATATTCGCATGTCAAAATTAAGCTCTTTAAAGGCTTCTGCAATGATATCGACAACATGAAAGAGTCTGACAGGCTGTGTAAGGTACTTCAACAGGATCTGACGGTTAGGCTTGATTCTCTCAGAAAATCTGATGGAACTTATACCACGTCGTTGCTAGACAAATATAAAACTCTCTTGGAAACTAATTTTCCGGGTAGCAGGATAATTTATGGCCAGGCAGAGATATGGTGGAGGATAGCGCGACGGGAAGAGCCACACTCTAAAAAGTGCATGTAAAACTACTACTGAAAAGTGTTTATTT